TTTAGGGTGAGTTAAAGTTTTGTCAGTCTCTCTTCCCTGAGCCCCAAGGCTCTTCATGGATCATGAGCTCTAAAGGAGGACGGTCCGGAGTGTCGACCGGGCGCCATACCCCCGACGGCGGAATAGTGCGCTCGATGCCTGTCGGCACCCCTTCGCTCAAGACTGCCGGAAGCTGGACGTCGACATCTTGGATCATTTGGAGCAAGCCCTCGAATAGCTGCAACGCCAGCGGCTGCCCCTCCGCGACTTCCAAACCGCACGAAACGCCCTCACTACTCAGAAGAGACTGCAAATCTTTGCGCAGATCTGCAATCTCGCCATCACTCATTATCGTTGTCACGTGAACCTCAAAGCATCAATGAAACTTCATAGTAAAAGTTGTGATCTTTATTTTATCGTTTCCACGTAAACCTCAAGTCAACATATCTCGAGAACAAAATGAGACCTTCTGGTGAAGTACCGGGAGGCTCATATGAATTCATATTTATGTCTCTCAAAACATTCCCATCAATCAGGCGAAACTCAGCTAGAAGTCAGCGCTCAAGCAGCAGCTTTTATTTCTCGCATGGGCGAACAGGGAATTGATCATTGAATTCGTAGTGACACATAACATCGACTTGTCGCACACATCTGCCAACCATAATCTCAGCATTGAGATCCGCCACTTTGCGATGCCACACATCTGGCTCCCCCCCAACACTGAGAGTACTTTGACCTACAGGGAAGGGAGGGCGGGTGAAAAATTTCGAACGTCACATGTCGTGTGTTCATTGTTGAATGAATAGGTCATGAATCAGCACATCACACAGCACACTCCACATGATGCTTGCATGGGTTTGTTTGCCGCATAGAGCCATAGAGGCGCGGTTATAGAAGTTAGCAATCATGAAAGCTCAATCAAGTGGATTGCAAACGTCTTCAAAGAGTGACTTCATGAACGTGGACATGTTACTACAATTTCACATCAAGCTTGTTCAAAACATTGGAATCACATCTTTTTTTTTCGGTCGGCTTCACTA